AAATACCAGAATTTCAGCAGATGCAGCTCAGAATTCTTCATCAGTTTAGAACTTTTTCTTATAAGAAATTTGGACAACAGAATTTACCTCCATCAGTCTCATACTAACAAATGGTAATTTCTCTGTTGAAATAGATTAGATTATTTCTCCTGTATCTGCAGTATAGTACAGAGCAGCAGATCTCTTGAGACTGTAATAATGTAAAAAAAATAATACTGAGTAACTTGAATGCCTCTCTTTTCACATATACTTTTAAGGAGTTTACAAAATGTCACTTGGTGAGTCATACTACACTTCTGCTTGCTCCTAACTCTGAAATGAAGTGCAAACAGGAGCACAAACATAACAAGCTACATTAAAAAATACTGTGAAACTGTTGTACCTGAACTTGGACCGTAAAAGCTCTCTTGGCTGTACTTTTCCATGCTTTGTGACATAATATAGTTGTACATGTTCCCTACATACAAAGATACCCACACATGGACAGTATTTCTCATTTACAACCTCTTAAGGAGTGTTGATTAGCCGATCTTACCTCATTGTCCTCCACACACATAAACCCAGATACAGAGGGAGAGTTGTTTGTTTTTACAGCACCTTTCTAAATGTATTTGTTTTTTGAGAGTTTCTGTGGCAGCTTTGAACATTGCTGGTGGGCCTAATCCACAGTCTGAGAGCAGCCCTAAGAGGATACAGCTTAACATAACAACCTATGATCTGCATATACAAAAGTATTTTAACTGGTGTACAAAGTCCTGTAGAGTTTTCAGATCTAAAACAATTGTAAAAATTAAAGTACTATCAAATATAGTACCCTGAACGTTAATTTGTCTATGTAAGAGAAATTGTGAACTTTGTAATTACCATGAGATAGAGCGCTAAAGGGGATCATAATTTTTGGCATTTGTTAGAACAGTTCCAAGATTTCAACCAGAGATCTGAGTCAGAAAAGAAATCTTCTTAGATACATAGCTGTAGCCTTTATTTCTAACTGTAGCCCATGGTATCTTGTCTTTGGGACCTCACTTGATGCAGAATTTTACACCACCTCACGTGCTGATTTGTACTCTAGTTTTAGGTATGTATTTTAACACAGAGCTAGCAAAACCCATTGGCTCCATGACTTGACAGTGATGCCACATACACCTCTTCATACTAATGTTTAGAATTTATTTCTAAGTTGAACATCAGGGAGGATGTCAGCTGAATTTTTCAGGCAAGACCTCAATAAATGGATGCAGTTTGAAAAGATGGCTACATTCCCTAATGAACCCTGTGATCAACTGAAATTTTTATCATTTTATTCAAAGAAACCCAGTTGCCAAATTTCTGATCATTCTTCCCACACACTGAAACCAAAGAGAAGGCAGAAAAATAAGTGTAGAATTGCCAAACAAGTCACAGCTACTTTTCTGACTCTTGTCAGCTCATAGTGAAACTAAAAGAGATTCTAAAATAGAAAGAAACTGCAAAACATGTTTTGACTTTTAAAATTCTAAAAAAAGTAGCTAGAAGATAAACTATTTTTAGTCATTCTGATTAGAGTTTGAGTATTATTCTGGATCATAAAAAAGGTATTTCCCCTAATTCTTGTTAGCTGTCATAAAACTACTTTCTGTTTGACAGACACTTCAATTTGTCTGAGCATATATAATGTATCATGTTGCTAACAGGCCGAACAACTATTTTTAAGTGAAACAAAAATATAGACCCATAAGTTGTATTGGCCACACCTATACCTGTTTTACTGTCTGACCATATCCCTTGATGCCCATATTTAAAAGGCTTGACAGCCTGCTTCCTGTAATCTTCATACCTACCCTACCGATCAGAAAAAGTCCATGCTCAGCCTACATTACTGTTTCTGACACGATTTCTTTACTGTGGCTTTTGCTTGAACTGACTTGTTCCACTTGACAAAAATCACTGAGTAGCAAACTGGTTCTTCTCAAGGGTAAAGCAATTTGTTTTTATCAAAATATTCTACATTTTATGTAGCCTAATAGAAGGGTTTAAGATGACAGTTTTGTCTCTAATCTTGAAAGGGACAAACGTGATTAATTCTTCGGTGCTCCCATTTGTTAACTGAGTCAATTCAAAAGGAGCACTGCAAATTGTTGCCATATAATTTCACAGAGCTTTGTTTTGATCAAAATTTTTACCTGGGAATTGAAGAGGGGAATTGATGTATTACAACTTCTAAAACTATCCTGTAGCTAATGCAGATGCTTGTGGCTTCCAGAGTAAAGACCTGGTTGAACGTGATGCTCTGAAAGAACCACAGTCTGAGAGAGCAGATGTGTTACTACTATTGACAACAGGGCTGTCAACAGACTTTAAGTTTGCAAGATTGTGCCGTATTCACTTCAGAGTAGCCCCACTGATTTCAGCAGAACCAGACAAACACAAATACACCATGATGGGATCCTCACTCAGACAAAGCTTTGAGGCAGGTAAGCCTAGACCTATAGCAATCCCTACCTCCAACCAAAGGGTTTTCAAACTCAGATAAGCTGGTATATTGGTAGATATACTAGAATAACTAACTTTTGAAATAAAAAAATCTTAATGTGACTAGGTAAAGCAAGGTAGAAATGAGAATGTTTATTCAGAGCTTTCCTTTTGCCTAGCGTGTGTTTGCTGCTGCTTTACCGCTTCCCAGCTTATTTTATTTGACCCGGTAACTTTCTGAATGGCGATAAACCCTGACCAGACTCCTCTGGACCTATACTGTGTGCCTGATACTCCCGCTTCTCCTAGATGAGATCAATGTAGTTAAAGAATTTTCATCTCAGTAAGCATAGGGTATATGGGAAGCAGAGAGACTTAAAAGTTCAGTGCCTTGTGATGCTTCATGTCGAGGTGGTTGACAAAGGATTTTATCAATCCATTTTCTTCAAAAAGTGCTATTGTACAGGACACATAAGAGATAGCAGTGACTAGCCTTGCAGAAAGTGCCAACTGACAAAATATATTTTTTGGTTGCCCTAGCAAACTGGCAGAGCTGCATTTCTAGAACCCTCCTCAACCCATCCCTTTTCTATCCATACTTGATCCTTAAAGCACCTATAGAAGCATAATGCTTTAATGCAACCCCCTCTAGGAAAAGCCACTTAAGCAGATGCATGACTTACAACTCACTAATTTCCTACTGTGCATTTGCACTCCATAAAGTCACAGAGGAACAAAGAAGTCTACCTTCCAGCTCAGCTGGGTTAAATTCTTTTTTTTTTTCAATACTCCTCCAAAAACTTCAGGTTTTGTTCAGTTCTGTTTTGATCTATGTGACAGGTAGTTTTACCCAGAAAACACAAGGTCTAACTTTAATAATGTAAGTATAACTAAACAGACAGTTATTAAGTGATTCATGAATGATCTAAAATAAAAGATGGAAAAATTAAATATACCACATGGCATTCTGCAGCCTGTGAAGAAGGAAGAACTGTAGACTTTTGTCCCAAATCCTTTGAAGACATCTTTGAAGTGTCTGGAGAAATACTAGGTGGATGTTCTTGGATTTCAGGCTCTGCTCTATTGTCAGGGATGGGAGCTATCTGAATGGAAACAGATGCTGTGTGTATCTCAGGCACGGGGTTACAGGTGGGTGAGACAGGCCTTTGTGGAAACACTGGTTCTTCAACAGGCTTGAGCTGTTGCTGTGTATTACAATGAATGCTACTTGCTGGGTCACGTGTCCGGGTTAATTTCAGGGTAGATACCCTACGTTTTTGAGACTGTTGCCTTTGGCCTTGATGGAGACTAGTACTAATACCAGCTACTGTGCTTGTGCCTGCACTGGAGATTGAGGTCAGTGGTTTAATGATTTTTTGTGCATAGGACACACTTGTGTTAGATATTTGAGAAGACATTGTCTTCTGGACAGACTTCTCATTAGTGCAATAGGCAGTATCTGTGGGAAGGTGTTTAGCTGGATCAGTTGTTACTGCCTCGAGATTAATTTCATTCTTGTGATTAGTTACTCTTGCTTTCTGAAAACTTTCTTTTCTAGGGGGTGGCAGAGGTGCCTTATTTGCCAAAAGCATCCACACAGAGCAAAATAACATTGAAGAAGAAACAGAAAGAAATTAAATGTTAGCAGGAGATATAACTCAGTTTTACTTTTATCTTTAAATAAAGGAACTAGCAACTTAAGGGGCTTCATCCCAACATTGCTTAATTCAATGGACAACTGAACTGGTCAGGTTCCCACCACCTTTTGCTGTGCAGGGCTGTACAGCTTGTGTTTAGAAAGCCAGATGTTCCATTTGTTGAGAGTAAACTGGGATCAGAAGGGAGCCCACAACATTTCATTTTCTTTAAAAAAAACAATTATTACACTGAATAAGAACCATTACTGTGAAATTGCTCAGATATGTAAGTAATCTCCAAAATGTACTCCATGACCTTAGATAACAAGCTATTATTCAAGGGTAACACACATATATAGAACACACAGAGCCTCTTAAACCTTTGAATTAAAATAATAACAGAGAACAGTACTGATGGTATGTTGATTTTTTTGGATAGATAAGTATGTTTCCAAGTTAAGTGTGTTTTTTTTTTTTTTTAGCGTGCTCTAATTATGTTGTTCTGCAAAACAGGCAGAAAGATTGTCTACCTTATAATTAATAAACATTTATCCTCAGATACTATTTTGATGACTAATGCATTTCTCCTAGTGTAAAATATTAATACCCTTTGAAGTCTGGGAACACTCCTAGAAAGCTTTTATTTGTGTATGACCTACTTTTATTTAGCTGGCTGTCTTGTTCATTGAAAGCAATTTCTGGTAATTAACCTGGAGGCACGCATCCTGTGTGGAGTATATTTTATCTATGCAGCAAAACAATTTGCAACAACTCGTATGAACAGGTGGATCTGCGCTATCTGGAAGACATCAGGACAATGTTGCATAGAGATAGCCCATCGATACGTGCTATCCCCCAAGAATAACCCACACATAAATGCCAAAGCATGAAACTTGCTGTGTTCGGTTTTACCTGAGTTGGTGATTTTTTATCCTGTAGATTTGGCCGCACGCTCCTAAAACCTTTTGCTGTAAGAGATGAGCTGCTAGAATCTCCATTCAGTGTCTCTCTACTTCCATCGTAAGATCTCCAAGCTTTGGTGAGGAAAAAAGAATAAAACTATTTTTTTGTGATTAGTAGATCTCTATATTGCTATCATCATAGCAACCCAGCTATTAAACAAACTGTGGAAAAGTTCACCTACTACACAACTGACACTGCTGCCGTTATCACCATGGAAGTTATAAGCTGCCACTTTACAAAATATTTATCTTTAAAATTTAGAAAAGTCAAGCATTGACAATACTGCTGGTAGCAGTTTGATATCTCCCCAGAACATTCATACAGACAATGGATTTTAACCTTGGGAGTCCTTTTCAGAGGTTGGTGCTTCAGCCCCTGTATAAAGCAGGCTGAAGTACTTTCACAGATTAGGTTCTTGAACTTCACAGCTGCATCAGATTTTGAAAAAAATCCCAGCTCACATAAAGGTAATTGGTCATGGCAGTTTCACCAAATTTCACCACAATATCCAATTAGTTGTTCCAATAATGCATCTTATTTCCAAATCTGAATGATACTTCAATTTTCCAACCAACCAACCATGTTTTGTCTCTATCCTTAGAGCTGAAAAGCCCTCAAGGCATTGTCCAAACATAGAGGGAGATTTGAAGACAAAATATTATAAGAGGCTGGGAAAACTAACACATTATGTGAGCAGGCTGCTAAGTGGGGTGGGCAGAACTTGCAATCCTCAGTAAGGGACTAAAAATGAAATAGTTTGCGCTGGTGAAGCTAAAGGTGGCAAATTACCAGTCTGTATTCTCCCACAAAATTCATTTTCTGACAACATATACTATGTTATAGGAAATAGTGCTTTCAAATGAGATATGAATTTGAGGTCTTGACCACTTGCAATTATTATTACAATTCCAGTGGTGCTTTCCTTAAATAATGTGGATGTAGAGAGTAATGAAATCAAATAAATGGAAGATTGTTATAATTCATCCACTTACATGGTATTACACTGATGCATAAATGACAGTGTTTTATTTACCTGAATCTGGAGACTGAGATTCAGACCCTGAAAAAGAAACATCCAATATTAAGTTGTGTTAGAAATAAAACTATGATGACACAGGTTGAAAAATATGTAGTAGTCTTTTTGTTCCCTCCTGTTACCTAAGCACACCTCAGGACATTAGACCGTAGGTAACTCTGCAATGTTTATTGCACAAGTTCTACAGAAGGTTATAGTGTGCAGAGAGTTACTGTTATTTAATGACCACTATTTCAGACATCCAATAATAAACAAACATTTGCTGTGGGTTTTTTTCCAGTAAATACTGTGATATACTACCATCTAAAAGCTAGATATCAAAAGAAGTATCATTCCTTTAAAATGAGTTGGAAAGGTTTAATTCAAAACCAAGGAAGATGCCTACAGATTCTGTCAAGATTTTCTCTCCCCCTTCACACCAGAATGTGTGATGCTTTCTTCATCACTTCAAAGCAAAACACAGAAACTGATACATACATGCTGCCAGCACAGAACAGATTTGAAATTCTGGTGGTTTTTTAGACTACTTAGAGTTATATTAGTGGTTTTTCTCCTAAACAAACTAAAATTACAACATCCCTAAAGAAATTCAAAATATTTTTAATGTACAATAATTATACTACTAAGAGCACTCCTTATCACTAATTTTAAGTCCAAAGCAAGACATTTAAGCATGCAATACAAGCCTCTTAATGACAAAAATTTTTTAGAAGTGTTGCTAAAAAATAAGAACCCAATGTTTTCTTAAATTTACATACATGCAGTAATACCAATAACCTTTCCACTATCCTTATAAAAAGTAGCAACCAACTTTTTAATTTGTTTCATAAATTCTAACCGTTCTTATTCCTGGGGATTAGTCTTATATTTCAAAAGATCTACAAAAACAAAGACTTTATCTTGCAATTATTTTCTAGTTCATTCTTTATGCAGCTTCCTATATTATACTTGTTTGGTGTGAACACTGAATGTTCACATTGGTGTAAATTAGTCTACACCACTCAAGATTCTTCACTGATTTATACTTACAACTACTTAATTCACCAGTGAAGCTGGGCAGCTGACATCCATTAAGATTTAATTTTGCAAAATCAGACATGAGTAATGCTAAGATGCAGTTCTGCCTATCTACTGAATATTCTGCATGTTTTCATTGTTTTAAACATTTTTAGGAAAACATGCTTGATAAATGATTTTTTAAATTTAATCTGGTTTCTGATAATCATTTTACAACAGCATTCAGATTCTTTTCCTTCAAGAAGAGTTTTTAAAGCAAACTGCAATAAATAAAGTTTGTAATAAACAAAACCTACTTTTCATGCTATGTTGTCTTGAAAAAAACAGGGGACACGAGACCCAAAATAGGAATCAAAGGCAAAATTAATTTATAAATAACTGATTTTTCCTAAGTCTTCCTAATTTCTTTTTCATTAATGGCGACTAAGTGTAGGCAGAGAGAAATTAAGACTACTTTTTAAAGAGCATTATAGAAGTAAGTAACAGACCTTGTCAGCGGAATAGAAAATACGGTTACCCTTCTCCTCCTTGCAGAGTAATATTGCAGGAA